GTGCTGGGATTACAGGCGAGGAGCCACTGCCACCCAGCCAGTTCTATGTTCTTGATTGTTTTTTTGTTTTTTTTTTTTTGAGACAGAGTCTGGCTCTGTCGCCCAAGGCTGGAGTGCAGTGCCGGATCTTCAGCTACTGCCAAGCTCCGAGGATGGTCTCGATCTCCTGACCTCGTGATCCGCCCGTCTCGGCCTCCCAAAGTGCTGGGATTACAGGCTTGAGCCACCGCGCCCGGCCATGTTCTTGATTGTTAATGAAAGAGGTGTATTAGTTTCTACTATAAGTAATATTAATGCATCCCCCGCAGTTTCTGCTTTATAAAAGTTACTGTAGGGTTATCCGGGCCACAGATACTTACACCTGTTGCAGTTTCATTGTAAGTCATTTATTTAAAATCTTACACTATATGATGTGTTTTGTTTTGGTAGTTCCTCAGCTATGCAGGAAGGTGTATTTGTGCCAGTATTATCCCTATGCTAATACTTTTTAAAACATTACTAGTGAGTGCCCTTTTTCTTTACAGAAGAAATTTGATTGTTGTGAGCAATAATAAAATTAACATGGAACTCTTCCTCCACCTTCCTCTCTTCAACTAGTGGACTAAGGTAGCTTTCTAGCCTATACAGCTCAAACAGCTTCCACTGTTCCAACAACACAAAACAAAATGTGGTGCCCATATATAGCCACATCTGTAGCTCTCAGAAGTTATTCTACCTTCAGAATCCAGAATTGTGTAGTACCCTTGCTTTCCAATGCGATGCGCTCACTTTCAGAAGCTGCATGTTCCTGTCATTTTCTGAGATCTGCCAGCTCTGAGCAGATCATCACTCCACTGGCCCCTTGTTTCTGATCCTTTTCTATTCTTGTTTCCTACTGATTACGCAGTTTTTTTCATTGTGGGGGTTGGGGGCAGTGGGGAGAATCTCGATTTTACTAAAATTCTGCCATTTTTTTTTATCTGGGTGCTTACAGAAGTTTACTGTCAGGGTGAGGCCCTCTCAAAAGGAAATATTTACTTAAGATTTCTAAGAACCTGAACCCCTAAAAACTTTCTTTTCCTGTGACTGCTTAGCAATTTCCCACTGAGACTTGGTTATTTCTCCTTTGATAGCACTTACTGACAATTTGGAATATGTAGGTTTTCTGTCTCTAGTTTCACTATTTACTCTGAAGACCTGCTGCCAGCTGTTCCCTTTCAGAATGGAGTCCTCTCCTGGGGAGTGACTAGTTGCTTTCCGTTCTAGATTTGGAACTACCAGCCAGCATTACCTTTTCTTTGCCAAACCAACCTCCCCTTTGTGGTTACCACACCAGGTGTGTGAGTTCTGTATGATACTTACAAATAATTCAGATGTGTAGTTTTACCTGTTCTACTGAAGATGTAGTTTGTGGGCTGTTCTTTATTTATTTTTTTGTTATCCTTGTTGCTCTTACTCTTTTCAGGAGAGGACATGGGAAGATTTGAAACCAAGCTATCTCTGCTTTGGCAGATAAACAACATTTAAATTCTAAAAACTGCAGCCTTGGTATAAGCAAACTGGAAGTTGGCATAATGGAGTATCATCCCTCACTTTGTTCTCACCATAGATACAGCATGTACAGGAGCAATTGGAAAATCAATAGGTTCTACAGCAGCGTCAGCAAATGCTGTTTAAAAAAAGGGGGAGGGTGAGTTGTTAAAATCTTTTTTTTACTACATAGAATATGCAAAAGTCAAGTTTAACCTATTAAATGCACATTTCCTAACCCCTTTAATATATGTAAATACATTTCTTCCTTTTCTAAGATTCTACACTTTATAAAATTACTCCAGTAATCTAAGACACTGATTTTCATTGGGAGGGAGTTTGGGGGTATTTGCCTCTAGGAACATTGGCACCATATAGAGATGTTTTTGGTTGTCAGAATAGTTCAGATGCCACTGTGTAGAGACTAAGGATTCTGCTAAACATCTACAATGCATAGAAGAGTCCCTACAACAAAGAATTATTTAGTGCAAAAGTCAATAGTGCTGAGGTTAAGAAACCATGATCTAAGCTAAGAAAAAAATGAAGTTATAAGGCTTTTTATAAAATAACAAAATAGCATCTGTTTAAGTCCTTAGGAAGAAGGCAAGACACATTTTTGCAGCTAAAAATCAGCTTAAGGACATTGAGAACTTACCCAGGGCCACAGTGTTAATATTAAAATGCCACACATCTAAATTTTGTATTTCTGGACTCCTAATCTCATATTCTTTTTTTCCTACATAGCTGCCTCTCTAGGAAAATGCATGTACTTTATTTTCTTCTATTTATCATAAAGGACAGGAAGTTTTTTAAAGCTTAATCTTTAAAAAAAAAAAAAAAAAAGAGAGAGACAAGATCTTGCTCTGTTGCCTAGGCTGGAGTGCAGTGGTGCTGCAGCTTTGACATCTTGGGCTCAAATGATTGTCAGCCTTAGCCTCCTAGGTAACTGGGACTACAGGCATGCCACTACACCTGGCTAATTTTTTTTCTTTCAGAAATGGGGTCTCACTGTGTTGCCCAGGCTGGTCTCAGACTCCTGGCCTCAAGCAGTCCTGCCTTAGCCTCCCAAAATGCTGGGGTTACAGGCGTGAGCCACTGTGCCTAGTCCTTAAAGCTTAATCTTATATAAAGTATAATGAAAATATTAAAGGAGCTTCTATCTCAGTTGAAATATGTATTAAATTCTGCCACAAGTACAACCTATGGATAGTAATACTTAATATTGGAGTTGGCTATATCTAACAAGTAAACTTAATTTCAGGAAGAGCTTATAGATGTTTAAAAACCTTTTTTTTTTTTTTTTTTTTTTTAAATTTACTTGCTGGTACAGCTGTCAGACTATGTTAGAAGTCTCACGGGTCCTTCAAGTGACTTTTTTTTTTTTTTTTTAAGACAGGGTCTTACTCTGTCACCCAGGCTGGAGTGCAGTGGCACAATCTCAGCTCACGGCAACCTCAAACTCAGGAGGGCTCAAGGCATCCTCCCACCTCAGCTCCCCGAGTAGACGGTAGTACAGGCACATGTCACCATGCTCAGCTAATTTTTTAACTTTTTGTAGAGACAAAGTCTCACTATATTGCCCAGGCTGATTTTGAACTCTGGAGCTCAAGCAATCCTCCCACCTCCACCTCTGAAAGTGCTAGGATTACAAGTGTGAGCCACCTCGCCTGGCCTTACCTACTATTCTTGCCAGTGGTGTAACATTGAGCCTCTTGGCTGCACCTGCCGTCATCAGAACCAGAGCAGCTGCTCCATCATTCAGTGTACTGGCATTGGCAGCTGTTACTGTACCTGAAAGCAAAAATAAGCATGAAGTCAAAACATTACTTCACAATAAATGCATTTGATTCAATTTAACAAATACTGCCTGGGCTGCTAAATATTTAAAGAAATTACAAATATGGGTGGAGACAATTCCTGCCCTCAGGAAACATGTACATATAACTGCAAAACAATGTAAGAATACCTTTTTGTGTTCATAAAACTAAGTTTTCTCAAAGATCAGAAACATGCATGATGGCACTGGGTAAATGCTGGTCTACAACTCTTGAAAGATAGGGACCAGTTTGTATTTTTGTATCCAGGGTCTAACTTTCCTTATTCAATATATAGCAGATACTCACTACATATTTTTCAAATCAGATATTTCTTCTTATCTAGAATCACCTGAAGTTAAATATCAATGAATACTAAAAACTACCAAACCACTTTAAATAGGAGAATGTTATCATATATAAATTATATCAATAAATCTGTTTTTTCAATGCCAGTGAAGACCCTATCATAGACTGCTACATATGAAAAACTGAATTCCATAGCCATATTATACATCTCTTCCCTTAGATTTATATATTGAAGGTATAAACTAACAGTTTTATACTTTCAATTAATCTTACATGAGCCTGATATATTGAAAATGTTAAATAACATCTAGATGTTTTCTAGAATTACTTTTTAAAAATCCTTAGGCCATGCTAAGAATTAGATATGGTATACTGGCTCAATTTTTTCTTATGCTTCATTTCTTAACACTAACCATTTTCTTTCTGGAAAACTGTCTTCAGCTTTGGAACTTTGCTAAAATCAACACGTTTATATTCTTCATCTTCTTTCACCACTACATCTGGTTGACCTAAAATAAAAATATTTTAAGTGAAATCACTCAAAACAAGTAGTCATTCAGCAAGCAACTGTTGTACAAGATGCCCAGTGGTCTGTGCCTCCCTTTGTATCCCTGCCTCCCTTAAACCATCCCAAGTAAACACTAATCTAGAATGTATTATCTCTATTATGTTACCATCTTAAAGAGAAACTTATAAAGTAGCTTCACAAATTTTTTTTTTTTTTGAGGCAGGCTTTTCCTCTGTTGCTTAGGCTAGCATGATCACAGTTTACCTCAATCTCTCCAGGCCCACGTGATCCTCCCACCTCAGCCTCCCAAGTAGCTGGGACTACAGGTGTGAGCCACCACAGCCAGCTAATTTTGCTTGTTTGCTTGCTTGCTTGTTTGAAATGGTCTTGTACAGTCTCCCAATAGAGTACAATGCTGCACTCCTAGCTCACTGCAGCCTTGAACTCCTGGGCTCAATTGATCCTCTTCCCTTGGATTCCCTAGTAGCCGGGACTACAGGCATGTGTTGCTACACCCAGTTAATTTTTAATTTTTTTGTGTGAAGGCCGAGTCTCACTTTGTTGCCCAGGCTGGTCTCAAACTCCTGGGCTCAAGCTGTCCTCCCACCTCGGCCTCCCAAAGTGTTGGGATTACAGGTGTGACCCACTGCACCCAGCCACAAAATTTAAATCTACACCTCCACATCCCATTCTCTTCTTCCTCAACTCCCTTCTATGATCACAGACTCCACTCTCCCGACCCCAGAGGTAGCTATCTGACCTATACTAGATAAGTTCCAGTATTCTATCTAGAGCACAGTAATCATTCCTGGAATAGAACTGTAACCTAAAGCAAGTTAATGAGTCTTTATTGTGGATTTATTCTGCTGGAACTGGTAAGAAAGTCTCTCTCCTTTTTGAGAATCGCATATATGTGACCCTAGAGGTAGAGACAGCAACTTTAGAAAGGCTGACAGAATAAAGCACAAAAGCCTGCAGGTGTGAGAAGCCAGGAGCGCATGCCTTAGTAGTAGTGAACACCCAGTTCCAATCCCTGAAGTTCCCAGAGCTGAATGGTTGCTACTGTTCATCCTTCAGTTCTTGGAGGCACTCCCAGTAACCTTCTAGTAAATCCCTTTTCAATTTCAAATACCGTGTTGACTGTCACTTACAGGAAAAAGAGTTCTAATAAATTTCTCAAAATAATACTCTTAGGGATCTTATAAATGGATTGAAACCTGACATTAAGTTGGGTGGATTTATGTTCTCTCTGAACTGGCAACTCTTCACTTTGTATTAACCATAAGCAGTGTCCTCAGTTGAAATGAACAAAGATAATGTCCTAATTTAAAACTTAAGCATAAAACATTCAGCAACATGAAAAGTCTATTCATCCTTTTTGGAACTTTTACCTTTTACTGTAACTGTGACAGGAATAACTTCATTTCCAAATTTCCCAGCTTCCCATGCTGCTTTACTTCTGGTATAAGAATTAATAGCATAAGCGTCCTGTTCATCTCGTGCAATATTCAGCTTCTTTGCTGTATTCTCAGCACAGCTGCCCTGATGAAAAGTTGAAATAGTTTAAAGTTAGTTAACTTTGCGTAATTTAGAAAATATCTTTAACTTTGCATAGCTTATAAAATAGTGTTTAGTAGTTACGTTTCTTAAAATATATTTCTTAGGCCGGATGTGGTGCTCATGCCTGTAATCCCGGCACTTTGGGAGGTCGAGGCAGGCAGATCATGAGGTCAGGAGACCAAGACCATCCTGGCCAACATGGTGAAACCCTGTCTCTACTAAAAATTAGCCAGGCATGGAGGCACACGCCTGTAGTCCCAGCTACTCGGGAGCCTGAAGCAGGAGAATTGCTTGAGCCCAGGAGGCGGAGGCTGCAGTGAGCCAAGATTGTGCCACTGCATTCCAGCCTGGGCAACAAAGCAAGACTCCATTTCAAAAAATAAAAATAACAGCATATACACACACACACATTTCTTTCTATACCAGGTCACTTTTCACTCATGTCTTTTTTTGAGATGGAGTTTCACTCTTGTCACCCAGGCTGGAGTGCAGTGGTGCAATCTTGGCTCAATGCAACCTCTGCCTCCCGGGTTACAGCAATTCTCCTGCCTCAGCCTCCCGAGTAGCTGGGATTACAGACACCACCACCATGCCTGGCTAATTTTTTATATTTTTAATAAAGACAGGGTCTCACCACATTGGCCAAGCTGGTCTCAAACTCCTGACCTCAGGTGATCTGCCTACCTCGGCCTCCCAAAGTGCTGGGATTACAGGCCAGAGCCACCGCACCCGGCCCACTCATGTCTTATCTTCAAATACTTGAATTAGCCAAGCAGTTGCTAGCTGAACATCAGAAAATACTGTATTTAAATGTGGGACAATTTCTTCAATGACTGAGCCATGCCAATGCAATAGGCATACAAAAATATTTTCCAAAAGTACATGGCTAAAATCAACATTTATAGAGCCCATCTTTCAGTTCAGTTTGTAAAGTACATACAGTAAGAAAAATCAAACAGTATTGGACACTAGATAGCATTTATCCACTAAAAATCACATTTACCATATGAATTTTATTGTAGACATCAGTTAGCCCGTCTTTAACGATCAAATCTTCAAGCTTTACCCCGCCATATGGTGTTGATCCTCTGTTCATTACATATGGAACATTGGACATGCTCTCCATCCCACCTGCCACCATCACATCCTGGGCAGCAACACCAGAAAAACCCAATGTTAATTCAAACAGTTGCAAACCCATGACATCCTTTATACAGCTGCCACCAAACAAGTATTCTACATGCATTTATTAAACATTTGTTACACAGTGAATACAGGAAGTACCCTCTTTACCACTTCACCCTGATGAAAAGAAGTGGTGTAAAATAATATAATGAGAAATAAGTTGGCTGTGTGCAGTGGCTCACACCTTTGTAATCCCAGCACTTTAGGAGGCTGAGGCGGGTGGATCACTTGAGGTCAGGAGTTCAGGATCAGCCTGGCCAACATGGTGAAACCCCATCTCTACTAAAAATACAAAAATTAGGTGGGTGTGATGGTGGGCGCCTGTAATCCCAGCTACTCAGGATGGCAAGGCAGGAGGATTGCTTGAACCTGGGAGGCAGAGGTTGCTGTGAGCTGAGATCGTGCCACTGCACTCCAGCCTGGGGGGCACAGCAAGACTCCTCAAAAAAAAAAAAAAAAAAAAAGTGGAGGCGGAGGTTGCAGTGAGCTGAGATCGTGGCACTGCACTCCAGCCTGGGCGACAGAGTAAGACTGTCAAAAGAAGTTCACAACCAGACATTAATAAGAATACCAGAAATCTGGCCGGGTGCGGTGTCTCATGCCTGTAATCCCAGCGCTTTGGGAGGCTAAGACGGGTGGATCACGAGGTCAGGAGATCAAGACCATCCTAGCTAATACGGTGAAACCCCGTCTCTACTCAAAATACAAAAAATTAGCCAGGTGTGGTGACACACCTGTAGTCCCAGCTACTTGGGAGGCTGAGGCAGGAGAATGGCGTGAACCCAGGAGGCAGAGCTTGCAATGAGCCAAGATTGCACCACTGCACTCCAGCCTGGGTGACAAAGCAAGACTGTCTTAAAAAAAAAAAAATATACCAGAAATCTTTCATGTAAAACCATCTTCTGAAATTCTTAAGTTTTCTTTTAGACAGGGTCTCGCTCTTGCCCAGGCTGGAGTGCAGTGGCATGATCTCAGCTCACTGCAATCTCCGCATTTTGGGCTCAAGTGATCCTCCCACCTCAGCCTCCTACGTAGCTGGGACTACAGGCATGCACCATCACACCCAGCTAATTTTTGTATAATATTTTTAGTAGAGATGGGGTTTCCCTATGTCACCCAGGCGGGTCTCAAACTCCCAGACTGAAGCGATCTGCCCACCTCGGCCTCCCAAAGTGCTGGGATAACAGGCGTGAGCCACCGTGCCTGGCCTGAAATTCTTACCTTCTAACCCTTCATTTCATTCATGCTGCTAAAAACTTAATGTGCTCTAGAAGATTAGAAGTAATCTCAGTTCATGAAAATAATCCTACTTCCTTGACTGAGATCCTCATCATCTCTTTCTGGACAGCTGAAATAATTTTCCACTTGATCTTCTGACATGCAGCCTTTCCACCAAAGCATCATCGACACTCATCTGACTCATTTTGGCTAGAATGTACGTCTGATCATTTCACACTTTAGAGAACTCAGCATAATATATAAAGCCTTTACAGTATCCCTTCTCTCCCCTTTTTCAGTTTCACGGCCTAACCCATACCCCAGGTCACACAGAACTAGTTAAAGCTCTCCAGAGTTTCACACACACCTCTGCACTTTCCCCATCCACCAACATGTAAAACATCTACTTTTCCTTTAAAACTATTCAGAACACTACTTCATGTCTGCCTTGACCATTTATTTCTATCCTTTCTTGAAACCATTTCTCTTCCTTTGTGTTCCCCAATTACAGTGCAATGCTTTTAATATTATTATATGTTTATATGTCAAGTCTTCCCACTAGACTATGCTTTGAGGCCAGACACCCTGTCATATTTTTACATCCTTGGCAACTGACATATAGAGGTTTAATAAATATTAATCAACTTGTTATTACTTTTACAAGTCAAAAAAAAAATCACTTGCATTATAAGAGCTAGTTAAAAACACAGTTTAATATAAAACATTAATGTAAACAAAGCCAATAATATGTTCTTACAGTCTTTAATCAGGCATACAGACAAGTTCTATACCAAAGAAACCTAAATATTTTGCCTATTCCGAAATATAGAAATTCTTAACCAGTTCTCATCTAAGTTTTATTCACTTGTACTTTTTACTGGGGGTGATGGCAGTAATAAGTGACAGAAAATAAGGTATCAATTCTTCATTATAAAGCAAAACTGACCGTTTTCCAAGGTCATAAATATTCAAAACAAAGCACTTGCAAGTATGCCTGTAAGTCACTCTATATATTCACAAATGAATAAAATAATATTAAAGTATTTCCAAATAGTACAAATGGCATTTGCTAGAGAACCACAATACCTCGATTAAGACAAAATTTTCCATGACAAAGAGTTTTGAAACTAAATCTCGTGACCATTTTTCACCCACTGGTTTGACGAGGGTTTGGTACCACCCAGTGGTGATGCAGATCCAGACAAGTCACACAACTTTTGGAAAGTATAACTGGTACAACTTTTATGGAAAGCATTTACAGATGCCAAAATGTTCAAATCCTGACTCAGCATTTCTTTTAGGCATTTTTCCAACAGAGACCTGCACATGTACAGATTTTTTTTAAATGTTTTGTTTACCACTCTATTTCCAGTGACTGTCACATGGTAGATGCTCAGCCCTGTAACTCTGTGGCTGTCTCAGACACACTGAAAAAAAATCTTCATCTGAAAAATGAAGGGCTCAGATCTGTGAGAATCTTGGTTCTTCTGTGTGTCCAGGTCTCACCTCCTGATATGACAGCATATATTTGCTAAGGAGCCTGTCTCTTGTTTGATCTCAAGTAAAGACAAGATATAGATCAGCAAGGCCAATTAGAAAGCCTGTAGAACTTAAATGAGTTCAGGCATTGTAGAAACTACAAATTAGTCATCAAGCCTGGGCTCAAACAATGATTTGATTCCCAGGGTTAAGCACCTTGTTCTCCTTTATAATGAAAACATTTATAATAAATTCTGGCAAATATAGCATTTATGAATTTTTAGTCACCCAGCCTCAGAAAAAGACCCAAATGCCTTGGCTAAAAACTATTTTTTTTTTTTTTTTGAGAGTCTTGCTTTGTCTCCCAGGCTGGAGTGCAGTGGTACAATCTCAGCTCACTGCAACCTCTGCCTCCCAGATGCAAGTGACTCTTGTGCCTCAGCTTCCCGAGTAGCTGGGATTACAGGCGCCTGCCACCATGTCCAGCTAATTTTTGTATTTTTCGTAGAGATGGGGTTTCACCATGTTGGCCAGGCTGGTCTTGAACCCCGGGCCTCAAGTGATCTGCCCCCAGCCTCCGCCTCCCAAAGTGCTGGGATTACAGGAGTGAGCCACTGCACCCAGGCCTAAAAACAACTTTTTAACACAAGACACTCAGGCTATCTTTTTCTTTTTTTAAAGAACAGGGTCTCGCTTGCTATGTTGCCTACGCTGGTCTCAAACTCCTGGGATCCTCCTGCCTTGACCTTCCAAAGTGCTGAATTACGGGCATGATACCCAGCCTATGCTATCATTTTGACCATACTTCAGATGGACTTAGCAAATCCAGACACTCTTGAGCGTGTGAGAAAACATAGTAACTTATGAGAAAGAATCTCATTTCTAAAGCATGAATATGCCTAGATTTTTGTGTCTTTTAGCCCTAGGTATTATTCTGATTAATAAATGGAAAGGATGGTGTTTCTTACCTGATGTCCACACATAAGACTTTGAGAGGCCATCATGATGGCTTTCATTCCTGAAGCACAAACTTTGTTTATGGTGGTACATGGAGTAGAAATAGGTAAGCCTAAAACCAATATAAGTCACTTTTGAAAAACAGATACTCAAACACAACTGCAGAACTTAATAGAGCATGTTACTATAAACTACAGCATTTCTTCTGCCAATATAACTACAAATTATATAATGCATTTAATATTTAAGCTTCAATAACCTTCATTTTGCCATTTTATACTTTTTTTTTTTGAGACGGAGTCTCACTCTGTTGCCCAGATTGGAGTGTAATGGTGCAATCTTGGCTCACTGCAACCTCCGCCTTCTGGGTTCAAGCAATTCTCCTGCCTCAGCCTCCCAAGTAGCTGGGATTACAGGCATGCACCACCACACCTGGCTAATTTTTGTATTTTTACTAGAGATGGAGTTTCACCATGTTGGCCAGGATGGTCTCAAACTCTTGACCTCATAATCCACCCACCTCGGCCTCCCAAAGTGCTGGGATTACAGGCGTGAGCCACTGCACCCGACCCCTTTTACACATTTTAAGTATAAAAGCAAAAATGTCTTCCAAGTACCTGCACCCAATACTGCCTGCCTTGCAGGAGCTTGTCCTTCACCTCCTTGTAGAACATTACCCATGTATGCTTCTTTCACTTCTTCTTTTGGAATCCCTTTATTTAAAAAAAAAAAAAAAAAAAGACAAAAAGGCATTTAATGATTAGTGGTTACCTAATAAGGTATGTGACATTACACAATAGGAATGGTTTTTTTTTTTTTTTTTTTTTTTTGTCAGTTTTGAGTTTCGATCTAAACTGTATAGTAGAAAGACTTCTTTACAAGGGAAAGCAGAAATGGAGGCATTGAGTCATTTCTAAGTGTTACATACATAGTTAATGCAAAATAAATCTTTTCCATGAAATATTTTTGCTCCCTTAACACGAAAAGCAAAGCAACTACTGACCTGCCTTTTCAATGGCTCCCTGAATTGCAATGGAACCAAGCTTAGTGGCTGGCAGCAAGGAAAGGCTGCCTAAAAAAGATCCAATGGGTGTTCTTGTAGCACTTACTATGACCACTTCCTGGCAAGACACAAGATGGTAAAAATTATAGGTATTTTACCCAAATCGTATTTCATTAAACATAATTCATAAATATATTATCAAAAAAACACTTCTGTGAATGAGTAGTCATCAAAAATTAAAATAATCTCAATAGTTGAACAGCTGTAAAGATAATCAGTTCAATGCTAGTGCTTTATGATTTAAAACCTTATAGAAACCAACTCTAAAACAGATGTAGATCCTTCCCAGTTCTCTACAGGAGGTTTGAGGACAGAAGCTTAAGTATCCTTTCTATTCCTCAGTCAAAACTCAAGAAATGGTCACTGTACCTTGTTTTTTTGTTTTTGTGTTTTTGTTTTTGAGACAGGGTCTTGCTCAGCTGCCCAGGCTGGAATGCAGTGGCACAATCATAGCTCATTGCAGCCTCAAACTCCCCGGCTCAAACAATCCTTCTGCCTCAGCCTACCAAAGTACTAGGATTAAGGGTATAAGCCACCACACTCAGCCACTTTACTCTTGTTAACTGCATAATAAACAACTCTAACGAAGAGGGTCCCTTACTGAAAGGAACTCTGGCTAGGAATCAAGACCTGTATCCTAGATGGGGCTATACCACTTAACTAGGACACAGCAAGGGCCAGAATTTCTTTTTTTATATATAATTTAAGACGGAGTCTCACTGTGTCACCCAGGCTGGAGTGCAGTGGTATGATCTTGGCTCACTGCAACCTCTGCCTCCTGGGTTCAAGCGATTCTCCTGCCTCAGCCTCCTGAGTAGCTGGGATTACAGGCATCTGCCACCACACCCAGCTAATTTTTGTATTTTTAATAGAGATGGGGTTTTGCCATGTTGGCCAGACTGGTCTTGAACTCCTAACTTCAGGTGATCCACCCGCCTTGGCCTCCCAAAGTGCTGGGATCACAGGTATGAGCCACTGTGCCCAGCCAGAACCATAATTTCTTTTTTTTTTTTAGACAGAGTTCCGCTCTGTTGCCCAGGCAGGAGTGGGCAGTGAGGCGCCCGAACTCAACTCACCTGCCAGGTTCACATCATTCTCCTGCCTCCACCTCCTGAGTAGCTGGGACTACAGGTGCCCGCCACCACGCCCGGCTTATTTTTTATATTTTTAGTAGAGATGGGGTTTCACCATGTAGGATGGTCTCAATCTCCTGACCTCGTGATCCACCCACCTTGGCCTCCCAAACTGCTGGGATTACAGGCGTGAGCCACCCCACCCAGCCCAGAGCCATAATTTCTTAAACAGTAAGACAATAATATGAACATTAAACAAAAGAAGATAAAAGCTCTCTTGAATACTGTAGAACAGCACTGTGACAGTTCTCTCCTCACACTTGTCTCCCATAGTCTCCTATTAAGTTTAGAGATAAATAACAGAATGGTTGCCTAGATTTTGGTAGAAGATCTTAACTAAGTCACTTTAGTGACCCTTACAAAACAGAGAGGACTCCTCAGAAGGTCCTAGGAGATGTTGTAATGGCCCTCCTTGTCTAATTCCCAGCTGATCCACTCCCTCTCTTCTAGGATCTTCTATATGGTCTCTGCTTGTACCACACACAATACAATGGGAGTCCCTGTGAGTAACGGAAGAACACTGCCCAGTTCTAGAGGGAATGTTGTTTTGCAGCAGAGTATGAGGAAGCAGCAAACATTGGCAGAGACTAACTGAAATGTTTTTCTATTGTAGTCATCTACTTTAACTGAATATTTGAATAGTTAGCTATTCCTAACTGTTGGATAATCCTGCTTTGACTTTCACATATACCCAAATCATAAGTATATGCATTTTTATTGACATTTCCTTTAAATTCTGGAACTTTTAAAGCACAATTTACTTACCTTCAAAGTGGGTTTTGAGACATAACTCCGTTCCACATATCTTATTTCCTGTAATATAAATATAATGTTATAATGTAAAAATTATTAAACTATGTCATTTTATATTTCTCAGTGATAAAGTTATAGTGATTTCTTCCTATATCTTTATGCTTTTATTTCCAAGTTTTCTGCGGTCAGAATATATCACTTTTAACAATTAGAAAAAAATGACTGCTTTATAAATAAACTTCTGATTATTCATTGGAAATGTATGTTTTAACTCCTAAGTTTACTATCTTAAAATTTCTAAGTCTTGGCCAGGCGTAGTGGCTCACGCCTGTAATCCTAGCACTTTGGGAGGCCAGGGTGGGTGTGAGTCACCTGAGGTCAGGAGTTCAAGACCAGCCTGGACAACATGGTGAGACCCAGTCTCTACTAAAAATACAAAAGTTAGCCCAGCGTTGTGGCACATGCCTGTAATCCCAGCTACTCCGGAGGCTGAGGCAGGAGAATAGCTTGAACCCAGGAGGCAGAGGCTGCAGTGAGCCAAGATGCCGGCACTGCACTCCAGCCTCAGCAACAGAGCAAGACTCCATCTCAAAACAAAAAAAAAAAATTCCAAGTCTTTCTTAAATATAGCTTTCTAAAATGTAGCTTTGAGTTAAAGCTAGGTTCTAAATTATTTAGTCTTAGAATCTAACAAGACATTCTCATTTCTTTAAGACTGTTTTCAAGTAAAACTTGCTGTTTCTCCCCATCCACTTCCAACAATTGTCTTTGATTTTATATGAGGCAAACACATCTCATATAAATATGACCTATAATAGCAGATAAATTATTTCTTAAAAAAGGAAAGAGTAAACATCTTGCCCCTACTACTTCTCAGTTCTTTCCACACTTCTTACAAACAAATGTCAACAGTAGGCTGGGAGAGTGGCTCACGCCTATAATCCCAACACTTTGGAAGGCTGAGGTGGGCGTATGACTTGAGGTCAGGAGTTAGAGATCAGCCTGGCCAACTTGGCGAAAAAACCCCGTCTCTGCTAAAAATACAAAAATTAGCCAGGCATGGTAGCGGGCGCCTGTAATCCCCGCCACTTGGGAGGCTGAGGCAGGAGAATCGCTTGAACCCAGGAGGCGGAGGTTGCAGCAAGCCAAGATCACCCCACTGCACTCCAGCCTAGGAGACAAGAGTGAAACTCCGTAATAAATCAATTCTGACAACGCAGGACATAATTCAGAGACCTAACTGATCTGAAATTAGACTATCAGTAACTGGGTGAGATGGCTCATGCCTGTAATCCCAGCACTTTGGGAGGCCAAGAGGGGTGGATCACAAGGACAGCAGTTCAAGACCAATCTGACCAACATGGTGAAACCCCGTCTCTATTAGAAATACAAAAGTTAGCTGGGTGTGGTGGTCCATGCCTGTAAGCCCAGCTAATCAGGAGTCTGAGGCAGGAGAATCACTTGAACCTGGGAGGCAGAGGCAGCAGTGAGCTGAGATCACGCCACTGTACACCAGCCTGGGCGACAGAGTGAGACTCCATCTCAAAAAATGATAATAAATTTTGAAAATAATAATTTAAAGACTTAAAAAAAAGTTCCTAATTGTAGTAAACATGCCGGTCACTGCCTCTCCAAACACATGTCTTTCTCAAAGGGCAAGCCTAAGTACTTACAAGGTGACTCCCCTGCCTCTGGCCAGAGCTGATGGGATCAGGAATGGAATAGACGCACCCAAGCTAGCACCCTGAGAGACTGGGTCAGTTGGATGACGGTGGGGACTGGGACTGAAAAGTCAAAAGGGCTGGAGCTGACCAGCCAATGCCACAGAAAAGCAGCGGTTAGAACAAAGAGAAAAGCCATGAATATGCTGAGAAGCAAAACAATGGAACATATATACTCAGAGACAGGAGAAATAGACCATGGCACACCACAAGAGGCAAAAGATGGCTTGGTTAGTGATTTTCTGGCTTGGGTTCTGGCAGGGTCAGTTGCACTTTATTTTGTTTAAAAATTTTCATATATAGGCCGGGCGTGGTGGCTCAAGCCTGTAATCCCAGCACTATGGGAGGCCGAGACGGGCAGATCACGAGGTCAGGAGATCGAGGCCATCCTGGCTAACGGTGAAACCCCGTCTCTACTAAAAAATACAAAAAAAAACTAGCCGGGCGAGGTGGCGGGCACCTGTAGTCCCAGCTACTCGGGAGGCTGAGGCAGGAGAATGGCATGGAACCCGGGAGGTGGAGCTTGCAGTGAGCTGAGATCCGGCCACTGCACTCCAGCCTGGGGGACAGAGCGAGACTCCGTCTCAAAAAAGAAAAAAAAAAAAAATTCATATATAGAAGTAAAAAATAAACCAGAACTCCTGGACTCAAGTACTTCTCCTGCCTCAGCCTCCCAAGTATCTGCGACTACAGGCATGTGTCCCTGCACCTGGCCAGCTGCACTTTATTTCCTATCCTTGGATGTCCTAGTGCTTGCTCACTGTATCTCTTCAGAAAGTTCCCTTTCTGGAGATTCCTTAAAGAACTAAAACTAGAACTACCATCTGGTCCAGCAATCCCACTACTGGGTATCTACCCAGAGGAAAAGAAGTCATTATACGAAGGCCATGCGCAGCGGCTCACGCCTTTAATCCCAGCACTTTGGGAGGCCAAGGCAGGTGGATAATGAGGTCTGGAGTTCAAGACCAGCCTGGCCAACATGGTGAAACCCCATCTCTACTAAAAATACAAAAATTAGCTGGGCGTGGTGGCGCACGTCTGTAATCCCAGCTACTCATGAAGCTGAAGAAGGAGAATCGCTTGAACCCGAGAGGCAGAGGTTGCAGTGAGCTGAGATCAGGCCACTGCATTCCAGCCTGGGTGACAGAGCAAGACTCCATCTCAAAAATAAAGTCATTATATGAAAAAGACACTTGCACACGCATGTTCATAGCAGCACAATTCGCAATTGCAAAAATATGGAACCAGCCCAAATGCCCATCAGTCAACAAGTGGATAAAGCAAATGTGGTATATATACCATGGAATACTACTCAGCCATAACAAGGAATGAAATAATGGCATTCACTGCAACCTGGATGGAATTGGAGACTATTATTCTAAGTGAACTAACTCAGGAATGGAAAAACCAAACAGCATATGTTCTCACTCATAAGTGGGAGCTGCGCTATGAGGACACAAAGGCATAAGAATGATACAGTGGACTTAGTGTCTCAGAGGAAAGGGTGGGGATGAGGAATAAAAGACTATACATTGGGGACAGTGTATACTGCTCGGGTGATGGGTGCACCAAAATCTCAGATATCACCACTAAAGAACATGTTCATATAATCCAACACCACCTGTTCCCAAAAGCCTATTGAAATAAAAATTAAATTTTAAAAGTCCCCTTTCTACTTAGCTAGTTTGTTCCTTGTTTACTAAGCCACTTATTTCAAGCTTCTGGTCCAGTTTAATGGAAGCTTCCGTGGTTCTCTCCACTTTGCTCTGGATCCCATTTCCAGTTGCCTTTTCAAAGCACAGTTATCCTTTCCCTCTCCTCTACATCATTCATCCCTTTTACTTCTGGATAATTCCATAAGCATACAAACAGGCTCTGATTCCCCCAACCTAAAAAACAAAGTAAAACCAAATAAATGTCTCCTCACCCACATTCCCACTGAGCTTTCACCTCATTTCTTTTTTTCTTTTTGAAAAAAAGGCTGGAGTACAGTGGCGCGATCTCAGCTCACTGCAACCTCCACTTGCCAGGTTCAAGCAATTCTCCTGCCTCAGCCTCCCGAGTACCTGGCATTACAGGCATGCACCACCACGCCTGGCTAATTTTTGTGTTTTTAGTAGAGATGGAGTTGCACCATGTTGGCCAGACTGGTCTTGAACTCCTGACCTCAAGTGATCCGCCTGCCTCAGCCTCCCAAAGTGCTGGGATTACAGGCGTGAGCCACCACGCCTGGCCTCACCTCACATTAGTTCTCTTTGGCAAGCAAGGTTCTCCAGGTTACCTACAATGTCTGTTTGCTTGTCCTCACTTCCTCTTTACAGTTCAACCCACTCAGATCCGGATTTTATTTCTGCCAGTTTACCACGGTTGGTTCTCAGCGACATCAACAATGTCTGTGTAGCAAAATCCAACTCACTATAATTGTCTCACTTAACCTTTTAACACATCAGCAAGACTGGGCTCACCTTTCTTTGAGAAATATGCTGAGCAGTTAAGAGCCTGGGCTTACCAGCTCAGTGTTCTTTGTTTTGTAGAGACAGAGTCTCACTATCTTACCCAGCTGGTCTCAAACTCCTGAGCTCAAGCAATCCTCCTGCGTTGGCCTTCCAAAGTGCTGGGATTACAGGCGTGAGCCACTGTGCCCTGCAAGCTGAGTATTCTTGAGCAAGTTACTCAGACACACTTACCTTGGTTTTCTCAAATACCCTCCATGGGCTGTTATGAGAATAAAATGAGGTAATATGTATAATCCACTGCAGAAACCCTTCCTTGTCTTGGCTTCCATTACAAACGTGGACTCCTACATCATTAGTCATATTTACCTCAGTCTCCTTTACTATTTCATCTTCCCCTTTCAACCTCCAAGTGCTCAGTGTCCCAGGGCTTTGTTCCCGGCCTCTTTTAATTTAACTTCACTATCTCCTTAGATAATCATATCCAGTCCCATGGCTTTAAAAAGCATTTATGAGGCCGGGCGCGGTGGCTGGCTCGCACCTGTAATCCCAACACTTTGGGAGGCTGAGGCAGGCGGATCACAAGGTTGGGAGATCGAGACCATCCTCTGGCTAACACAGTGAAGCCCCGTCTCTACTAATAATACAAAAACAAAATTAGCCCGGTGTGGGGGCAGGCACCTGTAGTCCCAGCTACTCGGGAGGCTGAGGCAGGAGAATTGCATGAACCCGGGAGGCGGAGCTTGCAGTGAAACAAGATTGAGCCACTGCACTCCAGCCTGGGCGACAGAGCAAGACTCTGTCTCAAAAAACAAAAGCATTTATGTGCTGATGATTTTCCAAATTCCTATCTCCAACCCTGACCTTTCAGTTGACCACCAGACTC